GGAGGAGGAGAGGAAGGAGGAGGAGAGGAAGGAGGAGGAGAGGAAGGAGGAGGAGATGTGCAGAGAGCACACAGGGAAAGGACAGGTTGGAGGAGTTCATGCGGCAGAACACGGACCGCGGTTCCGGACTCGTTGGACAGGAGGGAGCTGCAGATTGGGGCGTCACAGAGGATCTGCTGGGCAGGAGGAGCGTGAGCGGCATCATGCTGGACCTTCTCCTTCACGTGACCGATGAACATGGAGCTCTCCAATGGCGGCTGCCAGTGAGGATTGGTGATGGCGAAATGCATGAGTGACAGTTCCGTCTTCCCGTTCTCTGCCTGCTGGTACACGGAGGCCTGCGTCTGGCCCTCTGACATCCACTGCGGACAACCAGACAGGACATACGAATCGGGAGTCACATGACACATATCCGTCCCTGCAACCTCCCCCCGGCACTGACCTGAGGGTTGTCATGTTACCTCCCCCCGGCACTGACCTGAGGGTTGCCATGTTACCTCCCCCCGGCACTGACCTGAGGGCTGCCATTTTATCTCCCCCCGGCACTGACCTGAGGGTTGCCATGTTACCTCCCCCTGGCACTGACCTGAGGGTTGCCATCTTATCTCCCCCCGGCACTAACCTGAGGGTTGCCATGTTACCTCCCCCTGGCACTGACCTGAGGGTTGCCATCTTATCTCCCCCCGGCACTAACCTGAGGGTTGCCATGTTACCTCCCCCCGGCACTGACCTGAGGGTTGTCATGTTACCTCCCCCGGCACTGACCTGAGGGTTGCCATGTTACCTCCCCCCGGCACTGACCTGAGGGTTGCCATGTTACCTCCCCCCGGCCCTGACCTGAGGGTTGCCATGTTACCTCCCCCCGGCACTGACCTGAGGGTTGCCATCTTATCTCCCCCCGGCACTAACCTGAGGGTTGCCATGTTACCTCCCCCCGGCACTGACCTGAGGGTTGCCATGTTACCTCCCCCCGGCACTGACCTGAAGGTTGCCATGTTACCTCCCCCCGGCACTAACCTGAGGGTTGCCATGTTATCTCCCCCCGGCACTGACCTGAGGGTTGCCATCTTATCTCCCCCCGGCACTAACCTGAGGGTTGCCATGTTTCCGGATGTCCATTTGAGCGAATGAGCAGATATCACCGACCCCGACCACCTCCACCGAGAAGTTCCGGAAGAAGTCGATGATCTCCAGAGATTTGTGGCGCAGAGAGAAGATCAGAATGAACGGGGTGATGATCGGGCTGAGGAGCTCCTCCAGGATGAAGACCTGCCGGCAAAATGCCCAGCATGGTGAAAACAGATTCAGAAACCCCAAAAACTGCACCCCACTAACCGACACAGGGCCATACACCCCACATACAGGGCCATACACCCCACATACAGGGCCATACACCCCACATACAGGGCCATACACCCCACATACAGGGCCATACACCCCACATACAGGGCCATACACCCCACATACCGACACCTGACTGCACCCCACTAACTGACACAGGGCCATACACCCCACATACAGGGCCATACACCCCACATACAGGGCCATACACCCCACATACAGGGCCATACACCCCACATACAGGGCCATACACCCCACATACCGACACCTGACTGCACCCCACTGACACAGGGTCATACACCCCACTGCACCCCACATACAGGGCCATACACCCCACATACAGGGCCATACACCCCACATACAGGGCCATACACCCCACATACCGACACCTGACTGCACCCCACTGACACAGGGTCATACACCCCACTGCACCCCACATACAGGGCCATACACCCCACATACAGGGCCATACACCCCACATACAGGGCCATACACCCCACATACCGACACCTGACTGCACCCCACTAACTGACACAGGGCCATACACCCCACTGCACCCCACATACAGGGTCATACACCCCACATACTGACACCTGACTGCACCCCACTAACTGACACAGGGCCATACACCCCACATACCGACACCTGACTGCACCCCACTGACACAGGGTCATACACCCCACTGCACCCCACATACAGGGCCATACACCCCACATACAGGGCCATACACCCCACATACAGGGCCATACACCCCACATACCGACACCTGACTGCACCCCACTGACACAGGGTCATACACCCCACTGCACCCCACATACAGGGCCATACACCCCACATACAGGGCCATACACCCCACATACAGGGCCATACACCCCACATACAGGGCCATACACCCCACATACAGGGCCATACACCCCACATACAGGGCCATACACCCCACATACAGGGCCATACACCCCACATACCGACACCTGACTGCACCCCACTAACTGACACAGGGCCATACACCCCACTGCACCCCACATACAGGGTCATACACCCCACATACTGACACCTGACTGCACCCCACTAACTGACACAGGGCCATACACCCCACATACAGGGCCATACACCCCACATACAGGGCCATACACCCCACATACAGGGCCATACACCCCACATACAGGCCCATACACCCCACATACAGGGCCATACACCCCACATACCGACACCTGACTGCACCCCACTAACTGACACAGGGCCATACACCCCACTGCACCCCACATACAGGGTCATACACCCCACATACTGACACCTGACTGCACCCCACTAACTGACACAGGGCCATACACCCCACATACCGACACCTGACTGCACCCCACATACAGGGTCATACACCCCACTAACTGACACAGGGTCATACACCCCACATACAGGGTCATACACCCCACATACCGACACCTGACTGCACCCCACTAACTGACACAGGGTCATACATGCCCCACATGGGGCTGGAAGGGAAGGTACGGGGGCCAGGAAGGGGAGAGATACGGGGCTGAAAGAGGAGAGGTAGGGTGCAGGAAGGGGAGGCACGGGGCTGGAAGGGGAGGGGTAGGGCGCAGGAAGGGGAGGGGTAGGGCGCAGGAAGGGGAGAGGTAGGGTGCAGGAAGGGGAGGCACGGGGCTGGAAGGGGAGGGGTAGGGCGCAGGAAGGGGAGGGGTAGGGGGCTGGAAGGGGAGGGGTAGGGCGCAGGAAGGGGAGGGGTAGGGCGCAGGAAGAGGAGAGGTAGGGTGCAGGAAGGGGAGGCACGGGGCTGGAAGGGGAGGGGTAGGGCGCAGGAAGGGGAGGGG